AGAGGGAGACACAGAATCGGAAACAGGCTCCAGGCTCCGAGCCATCAGCCCAGAGCCCGACGCGGGGCTCGAACTCACGGACCGCGAGATCGTGACCTGGCTGAAGTCGGACGCTTAACCGACTGCGCCACCCAGGCGCCCCTCCAACAGCAGACTTTTAAAGCACTTGTACAGGAATCAACATGAGTATTTAAAGAGTTAAACAGAGATAATTCCAAACTGCACATTTTCTAAGTTTTTAAGTGCAGATAAAAGTCACATTCTTTTAAGTGCTGTTTTTCCCTCCTACATTCCTGTTCTTTTTTATGGACTTCCTTGTTTGGAGCAGATTGCTCCGAGGATTTTCTTTATAGTATTTCCAGTCCAACTTGAAGAGAAAGGAAGCAGCAGGAAACGCCCAGTGAAATGAGCCCCACTTCATATTTCTGGATATGGCTCAGCCATAGCCTTGTGAAATAAGTGTTTCTGACAGGTATATGATAGCTGAGTATTTAGTAACGTGAAGAAGACAAAGCCTCCTTAGTTTACCCAGTATCAAAGCTCTTATTATTTCTATTGGACCACATTTTCAGAATGTTTTGCTTGTTTTTACTTAGGGGAAAGGATCTTGGCTGACACTCTAGTTCCATTCAGTAACTAGAAAGTATTTTCTTCTTCACAAATAGCTGTGATAGTCATATTGACTATTTCAGATGTTATTTTCACTGAGGAATAAGGAAATGACATCTCAGAGTTGAAGTCAAAGAAGAATTTTTTTTTCTTTTTTTGTGCTGGTGATTTTAAAGGGAACCTCAAGCAACCTAAGAAGGGAAAAGCCAGAATATGTATGTATACAGAGATAAATACACATCATGAATGTTCCTCTAATAAATGTATTAGTTCTGATGTGTTACCATATTATGATGAGATCTGTTTTATTTGAGACCCAGAACACCTTTAATGCAGAAGATTATTATTTTACCTATGGCTGAAGATCAATCACTAAGTCTAATTGCCAACTCAAAATATACAGCATCATTATATAGTTCTTCATAATACCACTGGCATTTAATTTTTTCATTTTTTTCCCCCAAATAAAAACAGAATATGAATTATGTTCATAATTTCATCACCTCTTTGTCTTAGCAGAACATCAGACATCTCACTAGATTAAATCTTATAGAAGTGAGTTTAGCTTTCAAAGAGGTATAGTCAGGCACCATTCTCTAGAAATTCTAAACAGTTATTCCCTTTGATACAACTGAGGACCTTTTTTTTCTTCCTAGAATCTTTTTCAAGTGCATTTGCAAATATTATTAGTAGAAGTTTTGATTTCTTTAAATTTTGAACCTCTGTTCCATTTTATATATGATTCTATCTGAGAAAAAGCAACTCTAGATATTTTCTTGTATTGGATAGTTTGGCCACATTGAATTTTAGAGTGATCACAGCATCTTTAACAGTTGGGGTTACTGTTATCCTGTATGGGGGACAGGAAAGTGACAGCTTTAGGCTAGTAAGATTCAAGGGTACCAGAGGAAAACACTTCTTCATGGTGCTACAACCAGATCATTTTTACAGAATCCAAAGACCAGAAATACTCAGGAAGAGCTAATTATCTAAGTAAAGAAAACCCTTTACGAGTAATCAGGGCAATAAAATTATTGTGTAGTAAACATTTGATGTGAGAAGTACAAAACAGGACAGTAGGAGACAGTGTGATGTAATAGTAGAATAGAAACAAATAGAAACAAGACTGTTCTTTGTTTAATAATGAACATGTTTGTGTAAAGGAGGTCCAAAAGGATGCACAAGGTCTTATTTAGGTAGGATAAAAGTTTCTCATAAAAATTGTTTTAGCATTGGAATAAATGAAGTTACAATGAAAAATTTATTCTGATAGTGTGAAATAAATTGAGCACAACTTATGTGTTTGGTCAATAATTAATATTTTGAGTTCTTAGTTTGTCATATTAAAGACCTATTACATTTATTCACATATATCACAAATGAAAAGTACATAATAAAAAATATTTCTGCAAAAAGTTCATAAAGTAGTGATAGTTTCTGTCTGATAGAGTAGTTCTAAAGAGGTATGATAATGTGTGTGAAAAGGCAGTTTGCACTGCAAAACTGTGGTAGGTGTTTTTTTTGGTTTTTTTTGGTTTTTTTTTTTGCATCCATACAGTTCCATTTGGGAGGCTGGTAGGGATTGAGCCATACCTAAATGGCACAGGTTTGTTTGAAATAAACTCATCTCTTGTTTATATTTTTGCCTTGATTCTAAGCATCCTATCTGAGTTACTTTGTACATTCTCCATTTATCTGCAAAGGAAACCAAAATAGTGATTTATCCACCTGGCTTTTCCCAGGACTTAATTTTACCAAGGTCCTGTTATTTAATTTCACTAAGAGTAGAAACCACAATTTAATTATAATTAATAATCACAGAATTGGTTTCTGTATGGACCAATCTCAGAACATTATCATGAGAATGTTCTGTTGAGGCATTCATAAGGTCATCAGAGTGAGGCATTACTTTTCTGGGGCTGGACAAATTTTGGGTGAACCATATGACATCTTATTTTGAGAGTAAAAATAAGCTCAGATTGGCATTAAGCCTGCTTTTTTTTGTTTGTTTGGGCAAAGAACATTCTAACCCATCGAATCAAAAAGGTACTTGATAGCAAGTGTGTGTGTCTATGTGTATTTTAATTAATGCTTCTGCTTATGAAGACAGATTAAACACTAGAGTTGGCTACAACATAGACCATCTGAAATATGTTTAGCTTGCACTGTCACTTGTCTGGGATTTCATGGCTTCATGGTGATAAACTGAAGTATAAATCTTAAGCTCAGCAGTATAAAAACTGGGTATTTGCACAGTGAACAAGACAGCCGTGACCTCTGTTTGCATGTGGCTTTTCCAACTCTTATCATGAATTAAGATAATACTTGCATATAGAAAAAATTACTATACATTTTTGGAAGTTAAATTGTGTTATACTTCTCAATCTAATGTTTTTATAAGCCTTTAAGTTAAAACATGTAGCGTATAAACTAACCAAAATGTGTGTTCTTATCAAGGAAATTACCGGCAGTTTCCCTGGACACATAAAATTGTGCTTACATGAGAAATTGTTGCACAGGTCTGTCTCGTTCTGGACTTCATTTTTCTTACTACCCTCTGTATCCACTAGAAGGATCATGATAGAAACTTCCTTAAGGCAGGGAGTAGCTGGTGTTTTAACGCTCCAAATGCAGACTGGTTTCACGATAGGAAGTTATGTTGTGCAAGCCACGGATGGTCCAGGGGAATCCGTTCCCCCACCTCCCTGGTTTTCTCTGGTCTTTGATGTCAGAACAGAAGAAGACAGTCAAGACACAGTTGCACAGAACTCAGAGGCCATCAGCCTCTAAGAGGGCTCTTGGGAAGATGAAGGAGGCAAACATCAACTGCTCAAAGAAGCCTTGTTCTTGATACAGCGTGAGCAGGAAAAAGGACAATGGTGCCCAGCGTTCATTATGATGCATTTTTAGCTACAATGCGGGCCTGTCAGTGCAGGGTGAACCTGTGGGCTGTGTTATTTCAAGGCTCCCATGTATTTTGAAATATTTATAGGGCTCATTAACTTTTTCTTTCCTATTATATAGATTCAAGGCCACTAGAGTTGCAGATTATTGTATTTCTGGTCTGAAGGGAATAACTTGGAGATTTCATGGATTTTTCTTGACAAAAAGGACTGAAGTAGAAATGTGTTTATATATTAAACAGTAAGCTGTACATTTAAGATATTCTTAACAGTAAGCAGAAGTCTCTTAGCTAAAATACAAGACATGGATGTCTTTCTTTGTTCACCGTAAATCTTCCAGAAATCTTGTCGTCATTATTTTCTCTGCCATCTGCTCCTGTGTTGTCAGGCCCACGTAGGGGCATGCCTTCATGCTTCAACCTTTTATTAACTGGATCAGCAAGACTTGGGAAGAGAAAAGACTTAATACTAACCACCCCTCATACTAGCTGAAACTGCCTTCGTATTTAACACTACATCGCTTCTTATTTTATGCATGTCGTCTCACCACAAGGGATAATGCTTGTTTGACACAATAGACAGGGACCACATTTTAGTGGAGGAAGGATTCTGATTTAATCTTACAGGTAGAATTTTTTTTCTGGGACCCTGTGCCCAGAATCTGATGCAAAAGATGGATGAAAATAGTAAATAAATGGTGACATTGCTGGAAATGGGTAAGGAAACAAACAATGGGAGTTTAAAGAGCAGATCACCCTTAACCTCGATTCATTGGTAATAGATAAAATTCTGTCTCATATTTTGCTGAATTTCTTAAATAAATATAGGAAATAAAAGGTTTTCATTTGCTTTTGTGATAATGTCAAACAGTTATTTCCTATTAAATTGTTGTGTTATTGTTCTCCTAGCTCAAAGCATTCAGTAAACCAGGGTTCCAGGGTGAATGTGTAGATTTTACAGAAGAAATCTCTGATTTGACTTCATTCAGGCCATGTTCTTTTAAAGTTCTTCGGGGTTGGTAAGTATGCTTGTTGAGTGCTTTCTACTGTCGTTCAATAACTAAATTTGCTTTAAATTCACAGGGATTTGACTTGTTTATTTTGTATTCACAGTGAATTAAAAACATTCTTTTAGTCATTGGTCAACTGCTAATTAGCCTATAGTAATTTTTCCTAGCTTGTATTATGAACCATTGTGTAATACAGAGAAATGAAATGCTAGTGAGCCAATTTTGGGGAGCATTGTGGTCATTTCATTTTCTCACTGATAACTTAGACTATTTCCTAAATATTTTGAATGCTTGTATGTTTATTGGATAGTATAATAGAATGCTATTTAAAAAACTTTGTTTCTGTCCAGATTAGATATAGTACTCCTAAATTTAAAAAATATATATATTTTGTTGAAATTCTTTATCAAATCAACCTTGTTTCACAGATGAGTACTCCTGATTTCAGAGTTAGTGTTCCAAAGATCCCATACCAAATATTAGACCCAGGATTGCTTTAGTCTTTTCTTTTGTTTTTTCTTTTTCTTTCTTTCTTTCTTTCTTTCTTTCTTTCTTTCTTTCTTTCTTTCTTTCTTTCTTCCTTTCTTCCTTTCTTCCTTTCTTCCTTTCTTTCCTTTCTTTCCTTCCTTTCCTTCCTTTCCTTCCTTTCCTTCCTTTCCTTCCTTTCCTTCCTTTCTTTCCTTTCTTTCTTTTTTAGAGAGAGAGAGAGAGAGCAGAGCGCAAGTGAGCAGGGGAGGGGCAGAAAGAGAGGAAGAGAGAGAATCCCAATCAGGCCCTGCGCAGTCACCACAGAGCCCCATGTAGGGTTCAAACTCACAAACCCAACCATGAGATCATGACCTGAGCCAAAGTCAAGAGTTGGATGCTTAACCACCTGAGCTACACATGTACCCTCCCCTCCCTTTTTTAAAATTTATTTTGAGAGAGAGAGAGAGAGAGCGAGTGAACAGGGAGGGGCAGAGAGAGAGTCAATTCTTTTTGATTTTTTAAATTAAATCAATTTTAATAAATTTAAATCAAATCTAGGGTCACCTGGGTGGTTCAGTCAGTTAAGCATCTGACTCTTGATTTTGGCTTAGGTCCTATTCTCATAGTTCATGAGTTCAAGCCCCACATCAGGCTCCCCACTGACAGGAGCCTGCTTGGGATTCTCTCTCTCTGCCCCTCTCCCACTCTCTCAAATAAAGAAACTTTAAAAAATAATAATAAAATAAAAAAATAAATCTTGTGTTCTTTGAGCTACAGCAATATACTAGACTTTTCTCAGATATAAATGAACCATATGTGATTCTCAAGACTAAAACATAATTCCTCCATCTTTTAATTATAAAATATTCATAAAATACACGTTACCTCTTTAGCCATTTTAAAGTGTGCAATTCAGTGGTAGATCTGTTTCAAGTATTTACCTAATAACTCCTCAGAATCTCTTTGTTCATTTTTTAAGATATCTTGGATTCATCAATTCTCCTTTTCCCTTGAGCCAGTTCTTCCGTTTGAAGAAATTCTATCTCCTAAGTAGCACCATTCCAGTAACATCTTACTTTTCCATTGTTGACCAGAAATCAGTTATAGCCCAATTGTATGTCCCCAAATCCAGTTTCATATTTGTACTACTTTTCCTTAAATCCCACAGTCGTCTCTCTAATACTAGTCAGGCCAAGTTCAAATGCCTCCTTTATATATATATATTTTTTTCTTTAATATGAAATTTATTGTCCAATTGGTTTCCATACAACCCCCAGTGCTCCTCCCAACAGGAGCTTTCCACATTGACCATCACCCACCCTCCCCTCCCTCCCACTCCCCATCAACCCTCAGTTTGTTCTCAGTATTCAAGAGTCTCTTATGGTTTGGCGCTCTCCCTCTCTAACTTATTTTTTTCCTTCCCCTCCCCCATGGTCTTCTGTTAAGTTTCTCAGGATCCACATATGAGTGAAAACATCTGGTATCTGTCTTTCTCTGCCTCACTTATTTCACTTAGCATAATACTCTCCACTTCCATCCATGTTGCTACAAATATCCAGATTACATTCTTTCTCACTGCCAAGTAGTATTCCATTGTATATATAAACCACATCTTCTTTATCCATTCATCAGTTGATGGAGATTTAGTCTCTTTCCATAATTCGGCTATTGTTGAAAGTGCTGCTATAAACATTGGGGTGCAAGTGCCCCTATGCATCAGCACTCCTGTATCCCCTTGGGCAAATTCCTAGCAGTGCTATTGCTGGGTCATAGGGTATTTCTATTTTTAATTTTTTGAGGAACCTCCACACTGTTTTCCAGAGTGGTTGCACCAGTTTACATTCCCACCAACAATGCAAGAGGGTTCCCGTTTCTCCACATCCTCTCCAGCATCTATAGTCTCCTGATTTGTTCATTTTAGCCACTCTGACTGGTGTGAGGTGGTATCTGAGTGTGGTTTT